ACATTTACCCCACAGTCATCTGTATATCACACTTGCCCCATTTTGATTTCAGGAAAAATGGTGCGTGTCTACAAACGGAAAACTCAGCCCAACCAGAAATATGATGATGAAATCTTGCAACGGGCATTACAGGAGGTCCGAGCCAATCGAATGACTATGTACCGCGCTTCCGTAGTGTATAACATCCCCTATAGTACCCTCTATAGCCACAAAAAGGGTTTACGCGGAGTGAAAAGCTCCACCAAGGGTAGAATATGTGCACTTTCACTTGCAGAAGAAGAAAAGCTTGTCCTTGGCCTTACAACCCTCGAAAAATGGGGATTTGGGTTAACTCGGAAGGAGGTCCTAGAACTGGTCGCTGAATATGTGACCAAAAACAACATCCAAACCCCCTTCAAAAACAATGTTCCTGGACCAGATTGGTTCATAAATTTCAAGAGACGTCACAAGTTAAGTTTAAAGATTCCACAAGCAGTCGAGTTTGCTCGCAAGAAAGCAACAGATCCTTTCATCATATATAAATATTTTGATTTGCTAGAAACAGTACTCAAAGACCTGGACTTGGGCAACAAACCAAATCAAGTGTGGAACTTGGATGAAAGTTCTTTCTCCATTGATCCGTCCAAATGTAAAGTCGTGGGGTTAAAAGGAGTTGCTTGTTCTCGAACCGTTAGCTCTCCTGGCCGGGAGAACACCAGTGTCTTAATGTGCGCAAGTGCAGCTGGTAATAAAGCACCACCGTTAATCATCTTCAAAGGTCTTAATGTGTGGGATCAGTGGATGGCCCCTCAAGGAACAGGATTTCCTGGAACAGTCTACGCTGCTAGCAAAAAAGGCTGGATGGAATCAACGATATTTTTGAATTTTTTCAAGAAAACTTTAATACCCTGTTTTGGAGACGAGAGACCGGTGTTAGTTATTTATGATGGCCACAGCACACACCTAAGTCCCGAGATCATTGAGGCAGCCTTGGCAGAACGTGTGACAATTTTAAAATTGCCCCCTCATAGCAGCCATCTTCTTCAGCCTCTCGATCTGGCGGTTTTTAAAGCTTTAAAGTCAAGATGGGACGAGAAGTTGGTGAGATGGCAAAGACAGCATGTGGGGCAAAAACTTCCAAAGAAATTATTTGCGCAATATCTAGGCGAAACATGGCAATCGCTAGAAGGCACCATAATTCAAAATGGATTCAAAAAAGGCGGAATAGTACCTTTCAATCGAAATGTTATTCCTAGAGAGAAGTTCTGCCCAGAAGCTCTTAAAAGATGGGATCTCCATAATCGACGTGCGGATCCTCCAGAGCATATAACGGCGGACAGTTCCAATATTCCAGTGCATGTTGCGGCGGACAACCCGTACAAAGACCCCGTTGCTTCGACTGCAGCTATGCCCTCTGATAACCCGCTCTCATTTGAGTCGCTTCTGCTCTCCACTGTTAAGCAAAAAACACCTAATGAGAAGCTTCCAAGGAAAAAAGTTGCCGCTGGGGCTGAAATAATAACCAACGAAATTCTTCTTTTCAAGTCCCCTCCTGTGAAACGTTCAAATAAGAAAAAGGAAAAGGCTGATAGTTCCTCGGACGATGACGACCCAGAAGACTTCTCGGTCCAGGACTCCGACAGCGATAATGAATATTTAGATTCTTTACGAAATCCCTCTCCAGAACCTACGGATGTGATAGAGCAAGTTCCAGCGGTTGACAAATGGGTACTTGTTGAGTACGCCACAAAAAAAACCAAGAAACACTTTGTCGGCCAAATAACCGAAAAGGATGGGAGGGACTGGGTAATTAAGTTTTCGCGACCAAAAGGAACTAAGTTTATATCACCTCTAGTAGATGACATCGATACGGTTGAGGAAGAAAACATTATTAAAGTGCTTCCTGAACCTGTAATTGATCGAAGGGGCATAATTTCATTTAATATAACCTTTACAGGGTTCAACATTAAATAAAAGCTAAAAAAGTAACCATATTTAAGTTAGAAATAAGTTGAAATGCCTAAAAACGTTTATACTTAATGTAAGAGAATTCCTATTAAGTTTTTTACCTGTTCCTCGTAAACAATAATAAAAGTTTTATTTTCGTTTTTTCACTTCTTGGCGTATTATTTCAAAACCCTGAAGTTGAGGCCCCTATAGGAGCCGCACAAATAATCTATTTTATGTAAAAAAATCCGCTCTTTCACAATAACCCCATCCCAAAAGTATATAAACGGCCTATGAGAGAGCAGAGACCATTATCACATTTGCCCCAGTAGGAGGGGTAAGTGTGATATAACAACATAGTTTTAAAAAAAAATTGCGGGAAAATCAGAAAAGGACCCTATCAGAAAAAAAATACTCAGAAGTGTTGAATAACATCACGATACACTATGTAATTTTTTTTTTTAAATTTTTGATGTTTTTGGTTTTCAAAGTATCGGCCACTAAAGTGTCACTATGCGAATTCTATAACACATTTACCCCAACTGACCTTAATATGTTTTTGTTGACATAACAAACGTTGAAATTGAATTGAGATAAAATTAGAATTTTCTCAATTTTCTAATTTCTGGTGTAGTTCGCGTTTTTTTTTCTCCTAAAGCCTATTTTTTTCGGCCAGAGATACTCCGTGTTTTTTTTTTTAAATTTTGCGATGTTCTTATTTTTTGATGTTAGCGATATTATCAGCTCTTTTTCCTTTATTGTATAGTTTGGTGTCCGGCTTTTTTTGGATAAACTCTCCCTGTTTGTTTCTATTCCCCGACTCCACGCTGCTCTAGGCACCTTCGTGCTCGTTCACACACAATGCAGGATAAACTACCAATATCTAAACCTCCTCTCTGTGGAATAAACCGAACCCGGACAACAACAACAACTATCTATTAATAATTATAATCTTATGAAAATTAGCGGGAAGCGACGAATGACAGATAACATTGACACGACTAGTGTAAAAACGAAAAGTTCGCAAATATTTCACATGAAATGCAATGTTGCCAAAGCTTTACGACACTTAGCTAAGCTTGCACTTAAAAACTATGGTGGAACGAAATTATATTCGAGCGACCCTTAACTTTTAAGGGCTTCATAGTTAAGTAAAGCTTGGTTATAGTTTGGTGGAAATGGCCATTACAATAACAACGACAGATACCAAAAAGGTAGAGCTGATTAATTAGCTACTTGCATAATTATTATAATTACAATTACAACACATGTGACTTGTGTTCATTTGTGTGCAACGTGGATCTGATTAATAATGACTTATTGACAGATATAAAATCAAGGATATCGATCCTCTTTGATAGCCTTTCAATGACGTCAGCGGTGATGCTGCGTTTACTTTTTGTTGGTTACTATGGTATTCAACAATAACTCCAAGCTACCCGGAAGACTATCGAAGCGATAGCACCAAAGGTGGACATCGATATCTCAGGACTGAGTCCTAACGTCTGGAGAAGAAGAGTTTGCACTTTTTTGCATTGGCTGTTCAATTTAATTTTGGAATGGAACAGTTGGATGTTGTCAGCGCTTTTCTCTATGGAGATCTGGATGAGACAATCTACACGTATCAACCATAGAAGGTTTCGAAATTGAGAGAAAGGAAAATGAAGTATGCCTTCTTCGAATAGCACTATAATGACTAAAATAAGTTTTCAAGATCCTGGAATAAGGCTTTAGAAGAACTGACTTACAAGCAGTCAGCACATGAAAGTTGTATCTAGACTATGAAGCAGAAGAACGCTATAGTTATTATTGCACTCTGTAGGTGGACGACTTTTTTATTTTTTACAGTGAATAAAATGAAGTTGAGAAATTTAAGATGCAACTTCAAGATAAAAGATCTTGGAGTTACTCATAACTGTTAAGGCATGAAAGTGAAAACATATCCCGATGGTAGTATTTCTATCAGTCAAAGAGAGAAAGTATGTCATGGATACCTTAAGCACATTTGGAATGTTGGATTATAAAACTGCCATTATAGTGAATACGAAAAATGCCCAGTGTGTTTAAGAACACTGGAAAGTTTCCAATGACAATCAAAGTGCTCAAAAAATTGCAAGTAATCCCGTTCTGAACAGAAGAAAAAAGCATATTGATAAATAAGTAGGTTTTACTTCATAAGAGAAAAGGTTAAAAATTGGTAAGTAGTTCTAGTAGGTACCTAACCTACATTATTTCAAATACTTAGGAACTCCAAATTAAAACTTACCTACTCATTGACAAATATTATTACACTTCTAATATTTAGGAACGTAGTCAATTTCCTCCTGAAACCCAAAACCGGGACGGGGATTTGGATATCATTTGTTAAAAGCGAATGCCTACTGAGCGAAAGGCCGAATTGTTCGAGTGATTTCGCAGGTGTCAGAATGACGAGAAATAAATTGTTTTAACCTTTCCGAGAAGTCCATTTGTCTTCGAGATTTTTTCGTAGACTCATTGGCGACTTTATTTTAAACATAATAATCAATTTATATTCTCTTTAAAACCGCTCCTAAATAACCCATAATAGACCATCATTATAATGGTTGTTATACAAATACCATCCATACCAAAGTAGTTGGCTACTTCCCTAGTTGTCGACCCTGATTGGCAGCCCGAGGCTTCCGTTCACCCATTGGTCGTCCTTTCTTTGTCTTAAAGTTCGACATCGAAGTGGGCAGAGGCTGATGAGATTTCGTTGGCATTTGTTACGATACCCATGGGGTTTATATGGGCTCCTAAGTGGATATTTATGACCGGGACGGCATCATAAGTTTCTGTGTTTATATACGCGGCTACGAAAGTGCGATGTTTTCAAATTATTTCAGGACGTTTAATGGTTTATACGTTTTGATGGGGCCTTCGAAATGTTGGGAAAATGGTTTTCGATGTATAAAATATGGATCGATTGATATTCGATTAAATTGCTAAAACAGCTGATGCTTGATGGGTCGTATCAGCAAACAGAGGCTTATATAAAGAACTCCCGTTGCTGAGAGCCAAGAACATCTGCTATAATAAAAAAAAAACAGCAATTCCTATGTTTATCTTTTTTTTTAATTTAAAATAACAGCCTCCCTGTAATCATCTTCCGACTGATCCTTATCGCCCCAACCCCATATATGATGGCTACCATCTCCAGTTCGTTTCACCCTGTTTCGAATCATTTCATTTGAAACTGTCTTCAGGTCATAGGCCCAACCGATTTTAGCAAACAAATCGATAAACGTCAACGTCAGGTTGAGTTTCCTAAACTCTGACGCCCTGTAATCCCATGGAAAAGCATGGTGGAAATTATGCCAGCCTTCGCCGATTGCTATAAATGAGACGAAAGCTGTTTCTGTGGAGCTCACATTTCTAAAAAAAAATTGTTTAACAGAAAGTATTTTAGAAATCAAGAAGGCTTACTTGTCATAGGGCTTGAATCCGTAGAAATGAGCAATCGAATTCACAGTCCAGGTCGCGTTTAATTCCAGGAATAATCGGGCTGCATTTATGTAGTATCCGTTCCAAAGGGTTTCGCCCCATAATAGTGGAATTATTGATGGAATTATAAGACCGACAACTACCACGAACCAGTTGAAATGTTTGTGTTGGAACCTTTTAATAATACCCATTAGCAATCCAAGAATTTATTGTTTGAAAGGTTGTCTTACCTGAGTATAGGGTCGCTGTACAGATCTGACAAATCCAATAAAGCCCCTTTAGTTTTCACGTCCGGATGTTTCCTGCACATTATCCAACCGGCGTGACAGAAGAAAATTCCTCTTTGAGGACAGTGAGGATCCGCGTCGGTGTCCAAGTATTTGTGATGGAGTCGGTGGTCTCTCACCCATTGAATGACAGAGTTCTAGAAGAAAATAAACTCGAATGTATAGAAGAAGTCTAGAGATTAAAAGTATGAATAAGGATAATGAAGAATAATCCAAAGGGTAGTGAGTCAATAAAATGTCTTTGGATACTTTTTTCATGCGATGCTTTGATCTTAATAAGGTTTCCGTTGTTTGTAAGCACCAGGAGAGGACATTGGTTTTATTATCAACATCCATAAGAAACTCAAATGAATCGATGGACATAGACTTAGAGCTAATAATAAAAACCCAAATTTCTTCAAATGAAAACGACTCCACAAGAGCAAGATTCTACCAGTAGTAAATTTTAAAAAAAATATATAAAAATTATACTGCTGGTTTTTGATTAAAATTTTCACTTTGATTTCAACACTCTTTAATGTCCGTTCAGCTAAAAATTCTCAGGAGAAAACCCAAAGACAAAACCTCAGTAGAATCCATTAGAAACGGAATCAGATCATTAGATACCACTGTTATCTCAATCAATTCGAAATCTGGTGTGGATCTTGACAACAATCTGGCACAGTCTTATTAGAAGATATTTTATACACTAGAAGAACTCTGGAACATTCCATCAGTTCTCCTGTTCAAGTAGGTATTACCGATTTGAATTTTGATGATTCTTCTCTAGTGGGTTTTTTGGAAGAAGATCAATGGATTATGATAGTTCTTTCAATCACTAAATTCTGAGAATATTGAGGTTCTAGTAATAAACAACATACATGGACAGTTTGAGAATTATTAGAGAAACTGTCGATATACTGTTATTAAGAAGACACAGAGGAATTTCATTCTATAAAACTGTGATGATAAACAATCTCCTGATGCTGATATTATACAAGGAACTTTAGATCTTCCTAGTGTCCTACTTCAGGTTAATTTGTTCAGCTTTAGTTGAACTGACACATGGTTTTAGCTGAAGCAAAAGTACTTTCAAATGTCCCGCCAAATACACCCTAGCGGAGAATCGGGCAGTCACTAGAATATTGTTGGCAACACTGCTTTGTTTATACCACAGGCCGGATTTTATTTTACGGGTCGAGTCGAAATTCGTATCGAATTGTCAAAATAGCGATTCTATTTTTCGATTTTCCCATACGTATTATACGGTACGTCCGGAGCTATCGTATTCGATATCAGATAAATTAAACAAAATACGTTAACGTTAACGTAGGATTTGACAAGTACGCATGCGCAGTTTCTTTTCACCAAAAAATGTAGCAACACGTCTTGAGTAAAAGTATAGCAACACTCGTTTTTGTGTAGGAATAGTCATTTGTGTGATAGGCCGGAATTACCCAATTCCTTAATTCTTAATATTTGTCCTTAATTCTTAATTCTTAAAAAGTTTAATTTATTAACATTGGTGTTTTTAAGGATTAAAAATTAAGAACAAAAATTAAGAATTAAGGAATTGGGTTACCCCGGCCATAGTTATTGCTTAGGACAACTATTTGTTGAATTTCTTATGTAGCAACACGAAATAAAAAGTGTAACAACACAATCGTTGGGAGTAGTTTTAAGTAGGTTTAGAGCAAGATTTGAATAAACTTATGTAGCAACATTTTTAAAAATAAAAATTGTAGCAACACGAGCGAAAGCGTAGCAACACGAGCGAAAGTGTAGCAACAAGTCGTTTGGGGGGTAGTTCCTTTTAGTGGGGTTTTAGGGCGAGATTTTGAAGCAACACTTATTATATGAAAATGTATTGAATTCGTTTGTAGCAACATTTGGTAAAAAAATTTAGTTTCCCGTGGAATTTTACATTTTCCCGGCTTTTGATTGGTTCGGGAATTTGAATTTTGATTATTCCCGGCTTTTGATTGGCTTATTTTTGAATTTTCCCGGCTTTTGATTGGTTTAGAAATTCAATTTTTAATCATTCCCGGGTCTTGATTGGCTTAGAAATTCAAATTTTCAGTATTCCCAGCTCTTGATTGGCTTCCAAGGCCAGTTTTTGAATTTTCTTAACTCTTAATTGGGCTTAAAGTTGAAATTTTAAATATTCCCGGCACATGATTGGTTTAGAAACTGAATTTTTGATTATTCCCGGCTCTTGATTGGCTTCAAATTTTGAATATTCCCGGCTCTTGATTGCTTTAGAAATTCAAATTTTGAATATTCTCGGCTCTTGATTGGTTTCCAAAGTCAATTTTTGAATTTTCTCGGCTCTTGATTAGGTTTAAAATTAAAATTTTTATTATTCCTGGCTCTTGATTGGCTCTAAAATTCAAAATTTGAATATCCCCGGTTCTTGATTGGCTTCCAAAATCAATTTTTAAATTTTCCCGACTCTTGATTGGGTTCAAGATTCAAATTTTGAATATTCCTGGCTCTTGATTGGTTCTGAAATTCAAATTTTGAATATTCCTAGCTCATGATTGGTTTAGAAATAGAATTTTTGATTATTCCCGGCTTTTGATAGGCTTCAAATTTTGAATATTATCGACTCTTGATTGGATTAGAAACTCAAATTTTGAATATTCCCGGCTCTTGATTGGCTAAGAAATTCAAATTTTAAATACGATCAAGAGCCGAAAATAATCAAAATTTTAATTTAAAACCCAATCAAGAGTCGGGAAAGTTCAAAAATTGACTTTGGAAGCCAATCAAGAACTGGGAATATTTGAAATTTGAATTTCTAAGCCAATCAAGAGCCGAGAATATTCAAAATATGAAGCCAATCAAGAGCCGAGAAAATTCAAAAATTGACTTTGGAAGCCAATCAAGAGCCGGGAATATTCATGAATTTCTAAGCCAATCAGGAGCCAGGAATAATCAAAGTTTGAATTTTAAACTCAATCAGGAGCTGGGAAAATTCAAAAATTGATTTTGGAATCCAATCAAGAGCCGGCAATATTCAAAGTTTAAATTTTTAAGCCATCCAAGAGCTGGGCATATTCAAAATTTGAAGCCAATCAAAAGCCGGGAATAATCAAAAATTCAGTTTATAAACCAATCATGAGTCGGGAATATCCAAAATTCGAATTTTAAACCCAATCAGGAGCCGGAAAAATTCAAAAATTGAATTTCAGAGCCAATCACAAGATCCTGGAATATTTACAATTTGAATTTCTAAGCCTCTCAAGAACCGCGAATATCCAAAATTTGAAGCCAATCATGCCGGGAATAGTCAAAAATTCAATTTCTAAAGCAATCATGAGTCGGGAATATCCAAAATTTGAATTTCAAAGCCAATCAAGAGCCAGGAATAATCCAAAATTTGAATTTTAAACCCAATCAAGAGTATGAGGAAAATTCAAAAATTGTTTTTGGAAGCCAATCAAAAGCTGGGAATATTTGAAATTTGAATTTCTAAGCCAATCAAGGGCCGGGAATATTAAAAATTTGAAGCCAATTGAGAGCCAGGAATATATAAAAATTTAATTTCTAAACCAATCATGAGTTGGGAATATTCAAAATTTGAATTCCAGAGCCAATCAAGATCCGGGAAAATTTGAAATTCGAAGTCAATCAAGAGCCGCTGGGAATAATCAAAAATTGAATTTCTAAATCAATCAAGAGCCAGGAATGATCAAAAATTCGATTTTTAACCCAATTAAAAGCTATTCGATTTTTAACCCAATTAAAGTTGGGAAAATTTAAAAAATCAATTTTCAAATCAATCAAGAGCTGGGAAAATTTAAAAATTGAATTCCTATAATCCAATCAATCAAAAGCTGAGAAAATTCAAAAATAAGTTAATGAGAAGCCGGAAATAATCAAAAATTGAATTTCTAAACCAATCATGAGCTGGAAGTATTCAAAATTTGAATTTCAGAGCCAATCAAAAGCCAAGAATAAGCAGAATTTGAATTATTCTCATCTCCTCTTACGTTGCGTTTCCAGTATAGTATATTGTGTATTTAGGTGGAAAAGTGACACATTCTCGGCCGACGGTGTAAGTTGACGGGCGAGGCGTAGCCGAGGCTGGCAAACACCGAAGGCCGAGAATGTGATTTTCCACCGAAATACACATACTATTTTTTCTGCGATCGGTTAAATACCTGTTAAATGTTTGTCTTTTAGTTCCAATTATTCAGCGGTACGAGAATCACTTTCCCGGCCTAGGCCGGAAAAGTGTTTGCCGTATTGTTATTCATTGATTCCTTAGCAACTATTGAAACATAATTGAAATACCAGAATATTGAGTTTTACGACCAGTTAACCGGTCAAAAATGCTGACATTTCTTGTCAATCGCAGAAAAACATATTTGGCGCAAATTCTGTAGCTACGCAACACACACCAAACAAAACCATCGTTTTTAAAATTCGCAGCTCACACACTTCAGATGATTTGTTGATATATCGAACATATCCGACCGACAAAATCAGGCGAAGCCAGATATTTGCATCGGTTTTGTATGCCACCAAAAATGACATTTTTTCACACTCACACACACACACACTTCGGTTTTGCGTCGTTTTTGCTGGACCAGTTGCTCGTCGAACAAAATCGTCCAACGAAAATGCAGTCTGTGGGGCCCTTATAACGTTCGCTAAACCGAGTCGGCCCGAAAGCCAGATTGCCGGTGTCGACAATTGCCGAATGCATTTTAACCTTTAAAAAAACTTGCCATGCAATTCAAAATAATCAAAATTCAAAAAGTCATTTTTAATTTATCCTTTTTCAAAACCAGAGCTTAGCTAAACTCGACTGGTACTTAAACTTTCCCATTTAAAATACATTGCTGTCAGATATTTATAAAATTCTATCAATTTTGACAGCAATGCATTTTAAATGGGAAAGTTTAAGTACCAGTCGAGTTTAGCTAAGCTCTGTTTTGAACCAGGATTGTACAACTGGGCCTAAGTGTAGAAAAATCTAAAAATAACTGTTCAACTCTCGTTATTCTACGATAAACTATCGCTGAGATATACCGCCTTGAAGTGTGTGTGACGTCACGAGAGCTTCGTCCAGTCGCGCTCCGCATTGCTAATTTGATTGTTCCCGGCACGCGTCAGTGGTTTTTATTTAGATTATTGCAGGTGACACAGG